GAATATCAATATCAATGTTATCAATATCAATAGCTCAGGTCTTGCAAAGACAGGGCTGTGGCTTCCTTGATTTGAGTCCATCCATCTATAATGTGGGATTCCTCTTTTCTTTTCAACCTCACTGAGCATTATTGCTTTTCCAATGCCTTGTGTTGTCTCATCCTATGCTCAATGTACAGTTTGTTGTTGTTGCGTGCCATCAATTCATTTCCGATTTTCGGAGACCATGGTGTCGTGGTTTGAACGTTGAACTATGACTCTGCAGACCAGGGTTCAAATCCGCACTGGGTCATGTAAACCCACTGTAAACCTTGGGCAAGTCACACTCTCTCAGCCTCAGGAGAAGGCAATAATAAACCTCTTCTGAACAACGCTTGCCAAGAAACCCACATTCTAGGTTCAACTTAGGGTAAGCGTAAGTCAGAAATGACTTGAAGGCACACAACAACAACAACAAGATGGCCCTAGCATGGGATTTTCTGGGGCTGAGAGTGTGTGCCTGTCTTCTCCCTTACCAATAATAATAATAATAATAATAATAATAATAATAATAATAATAATAATAATAATTTTTATTACCTTTATTGATTGGGCCAACCATCATTGTCTTTTCTAACGAATGATGTTTTTCTCCTGATGTGTCCAGACTAAAACAGCCTCCGTTTAGTCATCTTGGCTTCTAGGAAGAATTCAGGCTTAATTTGCTCATGGACCCATTTATTTGTCTTTGTTTTAGCAGTCCGCAGATCTACCTTTTGGTATCTACATGATATCCCTCCAAATATTTAAAGGCAGCGACGATGTCACCTCTCAACCTTCTCCAAGTTCAATCTACCCAAATCTATCCTTTGACTGATACTCTTCATTTCCAGACCTTTTCCCCAACTTGGTCACCTTCTTCTGGACTTGTTCCATCAATAGATTTATTACAGCTCATTGCCAGCATCACTGAATTTTTTCTAATTTGTCAAAAATATAAGCAGAAACCATAGGCAGGAGAACGATCCAACAGGAATGATGAGCAGCCATTGTCCAGAGCTTGGAAAAGTTACCTTTTTTGGGCACTATAATTCTCACTGGCTGACTGGCTTTAAAGGAAGGCCAGGTGGTGTAATGGTTTGAGTGCTGGACTAGGACACTGGGAGGCCAGGGTTCGAATCCCAGCTCGGCTATGGAAACCCACGGGAAATCCTGGGCAAGTCACACACTCTCAGCCTCAGAGGATGGCAAGGGAAAAGCGCATCTGAAGAAACTTGCCAAGAAAACGATAGATTCGCCTTAGAGTCGCCATAATTCGGAAATGACTTGAAGGCACACAGCAACAACAACAAAAATCCAGTGGTATACGGTTATTTAAGCGTTGGATTTTGACTCTCTGGGAGACCAGAATTCAATTCTCTGCTCAGCCATGGAAACCCAATGGGTGACTTTGGGCGAGTCACACACTCTCAGCCCCAGAAAACCCTGCAATAGGGTTGCCTTAGGGTTGCCATAAGTTGGAAATGACTTGAAGGCATGCAACAACAAAAAGAAGAAGAAGAAGAAGCTGGCTTTAAAAATTATTTATTTTTAAAACTAAAAAGTTCTGATCCTTACAAGATGACAAATCCAACATGTTCTCCCCTCCAGACACCTATTTTTTTAGCCGTCTCTGTGACACAGGTATAAGAAAACGAAACACGCTCCGACAAAACACAAAACGCGTTTGTCAATTAAGACCATTCGATGGCTCCAAGCAAAAGCAGGCAACCGATATCCACGTTGCACAGCCATTGACGTGGTTCTCGGGTTTCGTTTCGGATGAAGACAAGGAGGGGAAAAAAATATTAAGCCCAAAGGAGAATGGAGGGCTGTCGATTCCCACACCTGCATGCCATTGCCAAAGAAGAACGAACTTAAATACATATTTCATGGCTCCGGGAGACATCCCAAGTCATTCCGAGATATTTAAAGTAATGAGATAGTAGTTTCCATCAACTGAAACCAAAAAAATGGGTTGGTTTCTTCAGTCTTTTGAAAGAGACATAAGGCTGTCTTTCTTTACCCCAAAGCATAAATCTTGTCTTTTAACCTCAGGGACAGTATTGGGGGGGG